ATTGAAGAGTCTACTCCCCAAGGGTTTGTGGCTAGGCATCTGCTAGCATTGGGGCATAATTCTTTTCTAACAGGTTAGGCCAGAGCTAGAACATGAAAACTTCAGGCTAGTCTCTTCTCGAGGTGAGTGAAATATAGGTGTCTGTAGATGTGAGTCTGCCAGGTGGAATTCCCAGAATAGAGAATTCAGGGAGCTGAAGTTCAAAAAATCTGAATGGCACATCTCTAGTTATGGTTTTAAATCTAATATGAATTGATTGATTGATTGATGGCAACACTTTCCACAGTTTTCTAAGTATAACATACTCAGAAATGGTTTATCAGTCCATTATTTTTGGGGTACTCTAGGACTGGGTAATTTCTCCAGTGCAAGACAGATTGGCCCACCACCTAGGAGGCACAGTGAGAAACTGAATAACATTTGCTGTTTCCTGGGAATCCTGCTTTCAGTGTTGTTAAGGAGGCTGTCATAGTAAATTAACATAGCCACACCAGAATATCTAGTTCAGTCCTGTACATGTTGACTTCAAAGACGTTTAGTGAATATAGGTTTGCAGTCTAAATTGTACACATATTATCACCTTTGATAGTCTTCTGGTGGCCTAATAATGATGGAAGGTGACAGCCCCAGTAATGTTCCAAGATATGTATTTTTGGAAATTTCCAGATACTTTGTTTGACCAGTCCTTGACCTGTGAGTCAGCTGTGGAAGAAACTTTCTTTTGTATGCCCTCAGGGTAAAGTGATTGTTGTGCTCTAATGAAGTGCATAATGACTCTTGTAATCTTGAAGCTATTAAGCCAGAGATATCCACAGGTGCCACTATCTGTAAATCATATACCAAGACTATTTCTCAGATCTCCATTCTATAACTACTAGTGTTTGTGAACACCACAAGACACTCAGAATTCTGTTCAGTGGAACCATTTGCACAGCTGTCCTTTACATGAGGCATCTAACATTTTCCAGGGCATTTTTGCCATGTTTGCCCAAGGAGTTGCCCAATACTTCTTTGTTCAAGCAGAAGCCCCATTGGCTGTTGTGGGTTTTTTGGGCTTTTTGGCCGTGTTCTGAAGGTTGTTCTTCCTGAAGGAAGACCAATCAGATCCCAGCTGTGGAAGCCTTCGAGAATACACAGAAGCCCAATTCATTCCAATGGAATGATCTCAACCTGCACAACAGCAAGCTAGAGACTGTGCAGAATTCCTCCAGTGGAGTATTATGTTTCTTCAGAGTTGAACAGGTCTTTGTTGTTTTCCTGCTGACTTACATATCATGTGGAACACCCCAATTTTTCAACTTATTGCACGTATGGATAAACTGAGGTACTTTTGGACAGAAAGGATATTGATAGATGGGCTCCTATGAGAGTTTATCTGCATTCTAGGAAAACTTGGGCCAAAATAGTAAAATTATTCCCAGTGAGTGGAAATCTGAAGTTTGAAGTGGAGAATTAATGTCCATTATGACAAGTTTATACAGTGCAGTATAGAAGAGCTATTGGAAACATCAAGTGCAGAAGTGTTAGACTTCTTGTTGAAAACTAGGATACCAAATGAATTTTTTTTTCAATTTATATCCTGCAACAAAAGCAAGCACAGTTCAATTCACAAACAAGCCTAACCTTCAATACTATTGTAGTTGCCTTAATATTATGCCCTGTAAATGGCTCCTGCCTGGGTGGATAATGTTTAAAAGATCACAACAGCCAAATATGGCTAATCACGTAAATCCCATTAAGAGAACTGGGATGCTCCCTTCAAGTAAGGCATTCTTCCCATCATAGGCCTTTTTGGTAATATGTATTTATGCACTTTCCTACAAGGTAATAAATTCATAGCAAATTAAAAGAGATCAGGAGAAATATATAACAGAAAGTAGAGAAAAATTAAGAACCTAGGAGTATTTAAGTCATGGAAATGTCTGCTACATCCATAACTTCATCTGGATGGGCAAAGGTAATCACATAAGTACATTCACAACATCTGTTGATTTCAGAAATTTTCCACGGCTAAGTGGGTACAGACAACAGTAGGTTCTATAAACTTGGTTAAAGATCTTTGTAATTATAAGAGCTTACATTTTTTCCAGTCCTGATAGCTGCTTGAAAATGAGTCTCTAGTTAAAACAACAACCACCACCTCTTGGTTGCAAAACATTTTCTCTTCCTTCAGTCATCTAAAGAAGTTTGTTTCTTTGATTAAATAGAATCTTACTTAGTTTTCTTTGTGCTGGCATTCACAGTGATCTTAAATCTTTTTGACTGTAACTCAAGACTGAACAAGTTAACTGTCCTGAAATACTGATATGTAGCAAAAATACTAGTATAGAGAAACTGTTTTTGTTTGGTTGGGGTTTTTTTTACTTAGCAAAAATAGAACTAAGCATTCCACTACACAAAACTGCTTAGAACAGCATCTGGACATGACAACCACTAAAAAGGATCTCAACAAGGTGAAAGAATCTTCATCAAAGTTGTTCCAGGCTGTACCCTTGTAAAAGCTCATTATATTAGTCCATTGTCCTTATCTGGATGGACAGGGGATAGGTCCTCTGACTTACATGTGGTTGTCCTGAAGTTGGTTCATGAGTTCTGGATTAATATTTTTAGAGTTATTTCAGACACTGAAAAACAAATTACTGAACCAGGTCAACTGCTTGCTTTATTCTTTATATTTATATAGACTGAAGTTCTCACATGTTATAAGACAAAGATTACATTTTATTAGGAGCAATATGCATGGAATTAGCATTGAAAATCTGGAAAGATAGCATTTATAGAAAAATTGGAACAAGCATATATGGAATCTGATGCTAGCTGAAAGGAGGACACATCAAACTGGAAAGAAGTACACCTAAAAACCCATTTCCTTGAGATTTAATTTTGAATTATACCACACACCAACACAGGGATTACAATCTTACTCTCACTGTTATCTCACTTATCTTTCTAGGAAGACTTTTTTCATAGTTTATTGGTTTAAACAAACTATGACTAAGAAGAAAAGATGGAACAAAAAAGTGTGATACAGGCTGACAATGTGGACATACAGTGGTTTCAGTAGTTGTGGGTTTTTTGGTGGTTTTTTTTTGTCTGCTTGCTTAAATTGTTGTAAGAACAAGCAAAATCTGTTTGAAAGACTTTGTCACATGAATCAATTGGAATTCTTATACTTTCTATGCTATGACATGTAGTGAAGCTTGTTAATGTTTATATAAGTTACCTGTTTGGTATCTGGGACCTGATTAGATTCAAAACGAAAAGAGAGGTTTGTATTACAAAGCTCAGATGTGCACAACATCTTTTCAACATGCATATTTTGTAATGCCAATTGTACAACCAACCCTTTGAATTCTAAAAGCTTTTGGAATTGTCCACAAGGCTGCTGAGACAACATCTTCACATTCTCTGTGACAGAGTAGCCTCCCTTCTTCAATATCTGTAAAATGTGTAGTCTTTGTGTATTCATTTAATTACACCCAAGACAGCAGGAAGAGACAAACTCACCATGTCTGCAATAATGACTATTTAATAACTTTACAGAAAGACATGCAAATTTTAATTTTCACTATATGGGAACCAGTATTTTAGAAATACTTGCATAGCATACATAATTCATAGGCTGATTTCTTATAGTTTAGAACACTCAAGGCTCTAGTTACTATATATAGGCAAAAATTATATGCATGGAATTATGCCTCTGGCATCTGTGGTGTCCTGCAACTTAAGCAAACCAAGGAATGAGGCAAGTGCACATCTAGCCACAAGACATGTTTGCAGGCTTAAAGAAGTGTTATTGGCTCCCTTATGAAGCCAACATATATCTCAGGTCTCAAAACTTTTAAAATGTCATAATCCATAAGTAATCTTTGTTTGATGGAAATCTATTATATTTTACAGTCCTGATGCCCAGATCTCATGAATTCACTATATCTGTGGCATTGAGTCATCCTATTTATTGGCACAAAATACCTTGAAAATCTAGGTACTGCTAAGAGTTGGATCGGTTTCTTCTATTTCTTCTACTCCTTCAGCAAACAGAATGGAATCAGAAAGTATTGACTCAACGGTCCAGTCAAATGAATTGTTGAGCTAGGAATATATCCAGTGCCATCCTCCTTCTGCTTATGAAACCATTGGAGGTTATCAAAAGGAGAACTTGGAGAAAGGCCATCTTTGATAGTTCCTCATGTCCTCTTGCAAACCCCACTACTCCAAAAAAAGTCTGCTCCAGAAGACGAGAAGAGCTTGAAACAGCATGGGAGTTTTCAGATCATGGTAGAAATACTGATAAAATTAATTCCCTTCACATTCCACTAATGAAAGCCTTTGCTGGACTAAACAGCAAAGATAAGGGGCATCAATGGATACAAGCCTGACTCAGCAAGCATTAGGACATGGTCAGCAGTCACTCTTTTATAATTTAATTACATTCATTGAAGCAATAAATCTACAAGCAGCAGTCAAAAAAGCAAGTTTCATATTTTACAGTTTTCTTGGGAATTGTCCAAACGACTTTTATTTGAGGGACACAGGACAATATTCCATTGATCCCAAGCTGGCAAGAAACCATTCTGCTGTCTTCTAGCTGTGTACTAGTCAAGAGCACAGAAGCCAACATGTTGAGTGTTCTAATACTGGAGGCATTCAAGAGAAACTTAGACAACCATCTGGCAGATATTCTTTGATTTGTACTCCTGCATTGAGCAGGGGGTTGGACTTGATGGTTTAATAGGCCCCTTCCAATTTCACTATTCTATGATTCTATGGTTCTATGGCTGGAAACTCTTTAAAAAAAGCTTTTTTGTGGAGTTCTGGTCCCAAACATGCTGAAATTTGACAGCTAACAATATACTCCTATATTTCAAGAATCTTTGCTATTTCTAGAATATTATAATATAAATAAAATATGACAACAACAAAAAGACAATAAAAATTATAGTTCTCAAGAAGAAAACAGGAATTCCTAGAAAGATTCTATTTTTAGCTAGAAGACCTACCTTTATCACATGATGCTTTTCATGAAGTACAGGTACTTTAAACATTTGGCACCAATATGTTGTGTCTTTGTCTGGTATAGGCACCTGTCTTAAAAGGAAAAGAAGAGGCAAATATAATATAAAAGTTTAATTTGTCATCCCTGTACTTTCAGCACACAGTTGTACCCAAGATTTGCTAACACTCAATGAAAACAAAAACCAAAGTAACTTACGTTTTGGTTTGTCAAATCAAAATATGGCAGAGAGGAAGAAATGGCAGTGTCCTTCTCAGGGTTCAATAAACGAAGACTCTTTGTTCCTCTGTTTGAACCATGGTAGTTTTGACTTCCTTCTCTGAAGTCTTTGTCATGGTATGCCCATATCACCCTCACTGTACTGTCCTGAAAAAGAATTTTTGCTGATTGGTAAAGTACGCAAGAAGACAGGCTATGATTTAAGTCTCTCTAACCTAAGATTATAATCACAGTTCACCAGAGGAAAATTTCTTTCTCCATGTTTCTAAAGAGTCATTAGTCAGATTCTGATCAGATTCTCTGAGTAATGTTTATAGTTAGCATGACTCTTTGGAGATTATCCCATTTGTAGATAGCAGTGCTAGATTTCTGGATCTAAAAGTCCTCTGCCAAAGCACATTCTATGGCCCAGAATTATAGCAGTAGCACAGTTTTATCTATACAGCCATCTAACTGAATCCAATGAGATTCTTAACCAAATGAGTACAGGACTGCAGCTTAATTTACACCATGGACATTGGTATATACTGTACTTTTATTGATTTTGCCACAGACAAAGGCATCTAGGTAGATTCTTTCCAGAATCCTAAGAGTCCTGTATTCAGGGGCTATATAAAATATCACATAAGAAAACTTGCACTTGTGCACTGAGACTTCCCCTTATTCTTTCTTGGTCCCTCAAGATTTCTTAAATGGATTTACCCAACTGACCCCACTTAAGCTTGAACATTAAAACAAACACAACTTGCAGTTGGAATATAAGTGCATATATTTTGTAGCTTATATGTTCTGAAAACAAATACAGTGCATTCAACATGATGTGTATCTCTGGGAACATTCAAATAAAAAATGTACACAATACTAAAATGTATACAAACAAGATGTATACTAAATGGTTGCAGCTCTGCAAAAATGTCTACATTTTAAAACATATATATTTATGTACAGAAAAAAAAATTGAAGGGATGGAATAAACATGCACATAGAAAATGTAGAACCTCAGTGAGATCAAGTTTGACCAATAGACCAACCTTTATTCTCCCTTCAAATTCACCAATCTATTGTAAACTCTGTGGTGCAGTGGGGAAGGGGGACATCAGGGATTTCACAAAAGAGTCGAATATCTATTGCCACAATGGCTCTTCCTTTGAAGAGATGTTTCACCTGGTGAATTACAGATTATCAGATGCCCAGGTGTAGTGTGGATCATGGGTACAGCATAAGCAGAGCAATGGCTCATCCACTCTGAGATTGAGTCACTCACAAGTAACTTGTGTGGCAAATTGTTTTAGGTTGTTTAGATTTCAGTCTCTTGATCACACCACCACATCCATACTTTCTGTCCCCTCTCACCTTGCTGAATTAGATATATCATGAACTACTTTACCGTTATACTCTTGTCATTAGGGTCACAAGTATGAAGCTTCCGACTAAAACCTAGTACAGTATGGGTACTATTTTCCAAGGCATATTCCAGATAGTAGTCCTGCTGTGAGTCTTTTTTCAGTGTTCTGTCTGCAGTTGTAAAATAGTCCTGTTGAAGATTAAAATCAAATAATCATCCTGCTGTTATACTGTTTCTCTTTGAATGATCGCAATTTCTTAACCTTTTCAGATTTTTAAAAAGATATATAAAACGATATGTTGTAATTTTCCAAGCAAGTCAATTATAGGAGCAACAGGGGTGGGGTGGAATTTATTTTCACTGTATACATACTATTTATCTGAACACTTTCCCAAAAGACAGAGGGAGTGTAATTAAATAAACACAGGATTAAATTTATCTGTATGCAATCACAGTAGCATATGGGGACATACAAACAACAATATTACATTTTCAAATAAATAAATAAAAAGAAACTTAAGAATACATTGTATGCATAGCATGAAGTTACACTTCATTCATGTATGAGAAGTAGGTAAATTTTAACTTGGCCTTGCTATTAGATATTATCAATTATTAGGCTCTAATCATTAGAGAATGCATCAATCAATCTGTAAAGAAGTTTTCCAGAAGTGCACTTCTCTCATTCCCTATTTCCATCCCCCTTTTTAAATCAAGAAACAGAAGGCTTCTACCCTTAGAAACATTAGTTTCTTAATTCCCATAGAACCTATTCCTCAGTCACCAGGGAGAAAGCAAACTTAATCTACAGCTATTTCTTTTATTTTCTCAGGAGAAATATTATACAGAAATACAATATTCTTGTATATACTCCTCACATAGCAAACTGCAGAAATGTTTTAGTGCTTTTCTGAACAAAGATTATCCCAGTTCTCACCATAGCAAAGTATGATATAATGCATACACTGTAGCAGTATCATTAACCCCTTCACCTCTGAATTCTTTGTCACAATGTGCAGCTGGCTTTCTTTCTCTGTTCTTCCTTCCGCTATAAGTTTGGATATTGTCTGAGAAACTTTTGTGATGGTAAATCAAAAACATCTCCCACAGGTTTAGTGGCCAGTTAACAGTATACATTCTGATTTCCTCCTGTTAACTTTCTAAGTTTCTTCATGAGTTTGTTTTGCATTTTTCTCATAAGACTACCAGTTCCACATGAAGAGATGACCCCCACACCTCCAGCTGAGCAATCCTATACATCAGGAGATGGGAACATGTTTTCGATATTGTTGAACTGCAGCCTTCATCAGCCTTAACCACTGTAGCCAGTGGTGAAGGATGCTGGGAGAAGTGGTATAATAAAATGTTCTGAACCTCATATTCCTCGCCACAGTATCCATATTTCTTGAAAAGTAGTCTCATTAACTTCTATGAGTCATACTCTCTAGTAAGAGTGTGGCCTCAATCCTCTTAAATACTGCAGCAATAATAATTAGCTACATTCCTATTGACTTAGGTTGTGATTACACTGAAATGCTGAAGCAGGAGGATTTAATTATCAGTTGCCTCGCCTGCTGTGAGGCAAAATCAAGCCAGGTTTACATGGCTTGAGTGACATGGATGTCATTGTCAGCAAAACTGCTTTAGATACAACTTCTGTTCTCATTGTAAGAGCAAATTATGTGGCTTTACATCACTCAGAGTGTTTCCAATATATAACCATGCAGTTCTAGACACATTGGTGAAAGGCAATGTGAGTGAAAGAACAGTGGTGATGACAGAACACCATGTGAACTAAAGGGAGCTTAACAGGAACTTAAATTCTTGCTTACCACAAAAAATGAAGGTGATTGATGTGCTGCTTGTCATGGATTTATGCTATCTATATCATGACAAACTGTAGCATATTATTATTATGACTGAATAAAGCATTTCTCTAAAATTTCCACAAGCAATTATGGGCTGGTGGGTGGAGTCAAACAATTAGTTGCCTTTCATTCACTGGAAGACATTTGGAAATTGAAGCAACACATGGTAAGTTGATTTTACAGAGCTATAAAATATGTGGTATATAATTTCCTACAGATGAAGGCACTGATGATGAATTGCTCCTCACATGCTGTTGACCCAGCTCTTGCTCTCTCAAAAGGGATTTGAAGTTGATATGGTTCCTGATTGGTGCTATACAGAATGGTAGGGAGAGTAATTTCTTATAGATGTAGTAAAAAGATGTAAATGGGCCCTGTTTTATCCTTGAAGAATGTAAGCACAGCTGCAGCCAGTATAACCTGGGGGGGGGAGGGAGAAGAGAAATCGCAGCTGTCATTGTATGCTTGAACAGGTGTTTATATGAAGAAACCCTCCAGTTACATGACAGTTTGCAAAATAGTCTGCCTTCTTCTATCAGTGAAGCAAATTGGAACAAAGCATTCAACTGCTTTGTGCTTCCCAGTGCAAAGAACCACAAGATTATTTAATAGTTTGATAACACAGTTGTATTAGTCCACATGGGCTATTATGCTTGTGAAGTGTTAGTTACGTTCCAAATAACTAGAAATCTGTGCTGATAACTGCAGTTGTGTATGAGTGAGTCAGACTGGAACTGTGGTTTTTCTTCTTGATAGCTCAGTGATTTAGGTATCTGGCTGCAAAGCCAGACGTTGGGAGTTCAATTCCCCATTGTGCCTCCTTCACAGGAGCTGGGCTCAGTGACCTAAGGATTCATTCCAGCTCTGCATTTTTAAGCTGATGATTATGATGACGATTTGCATGTGTCAGAAGTACTGCAATGGTGCTTTTAAAGTGGAAGGATGAGTTCACACATTCTTCAGGGAGGCTCCTCCTGTATTTTCCAGTAAAATAACTTGTGAGTTAGGACATGAAAGAAACTCATTAAAAAAAAACTGCAGGTCAAACTCTGCTTAACCTGGCTAAAGGCATTCTGTGGACAAAGTGGCCAACCAGATGGCAATGGGAAGTCCATAAACAGGACATGAGAGCCACAAATTCTTCCCACTTATATTCCCTAATACGCTGCCTCTCTTACTGATATAGAGTTATCATGACTAGTGGCCTTTTATAACATTCTCTTTCATTTATCTGGCCAGTATTAATGTCATTCAGATTAACAGATATCATTACTTCTTTTAGTAGCAAGCTCCACTTCTTAGCTATATGCTATGTAAAGAACTGGGCTAGAAAATGTTATTTTTGGACTGGAGTCCCCAGAATCACCATCCATTAAAAAAGTAACATTTGCAAAGAAGTATTTTTTTTCTTCCTGACCAATACCTTCTAGAGTTTATGACTCAGAAATACTTATCCGTACCCACTTTCTCCACATTGTGCAGTTTACACTTCCATCATACCTCCCACTTGCCTTGTTTTCCTAAACTTAAAAGCCTCAGAAGTTCCAGCCTCAGAGGTTCACATATGGGAGCTGCTTCAGACTGTTGGTGATTTTGGTCGCCCTTTTCTGTTCAATTCAAAATCTGCAATATCGAATCTAAGAAGTATATATGGTTTCCAAGTGCGGTTGAAGTAGTGTTATTTTAGAGAGGCATTGGGATTTTTGGCAGTTTTATTTTGTTGTTGTTGTTGTTGTTATTATTATTATTTATTATTTCTTTCTGTTATTATTTCTTTCAAATACAGAATCTGTCATTTTCACAGCTGCAAAGTCAATATTTTCATCAAGTTAGCCATCAAGCCCAAAATAATTTTCCTGATCAATCAGTGTCAACTTAATCCCCTCAACATATATGTGAAGTTAGGATTTTGTTTGTTTTGTGCATTGCTTTACATTTCTTTACACTGAACTACATTACCCATTTTAATACCCATTCACCCATTTGGAGAGATTCCTCTGGTACTCTTCTTTACCACTGTGTTGTTTTAGCCATTACATAACTTAGTGTCCCCATTAGTCCAAGACTTTACAGTTGTTGTTTTTTTTAAAAAAAAAAAACACCTACAGATTTTAGATTGAAAACATTAGAGGATTCCTGCTGATTAAAGAAAAAAAGCTGCCTTTCGGGGCCAAAAATTAAGATACATAAAAGGCATAGAATTCCAGCAATGAGAGTGTAAATGACAGCAGAAGGAACACAAGCCATTGTGCAATGACCCTGCAGTGACCCTGGATACCAAGTCTTATCTGGATTGCAAGAAGAGTCAATTTACAGATCCCCTTGTACCAATGACCAGCTTGTTCATTCTTTAATTCAGATTCAAAATACACCTGTATTTTCATGAAGAATGTTATCATATTTACACCTCTCCAAAAGATTAACTGACCATAAATGTAAACAGAAAGACTATACATGTACTGTGGGGAGAAGGGGTTTGATGTGACCACAAAGAACGCCAGTCGCCAGAGAACACAACAACTGCCTGATCGGCAGATGTCATAATGAATTATCTTTCTAGGATCACAAAGTCCATGGTTTAGTCAATACAAGGAAGCCTCATGTAGTTCTGAGATGTTCTACTATTATATCAATTCCAAATATGTTTTGTGTGACATGTTCATATGGGGAAAAAAAAGAAATGGCATAGCATTTATGTTATGTTATATTCCTTCAGTGACAGATTTTACTTTCTTGGGCCCCATGATCACTACACATGGTGACAGCAGCCATGAAATTAAAAGATCCCTGCTTCTTGGGAGAAAAGCGATGACAAACCTAGACAGCATCTTTAAAAGCAGAGACATCACCTTGCTGACAAAGGTCAACATAGTCAAAGCTATGGTTTTTCCAGTAGTGATGTATGGAAGTGAGAGCTGGACCATAAAGAAGGCTGACCACCAAAGCAAAAAGCAAAAGCAAAGCATGCTGCTTATATACCGCCCCATAGTGCTTCAAGCACTCTCTGGGCAGTTTACAAGTTAATTATGCAGGCTACACATTCCCCCCCCCCCCCCCAGCAAGCTGGGTACTCATTTTACTGACCTCGGAAGGATAGAACGCTGAGTCAACATTGAGCCACTACCTGGAATTGAACCCCAGGTTGTGAGCACAGTTTTGGCTGCAGTACAGTGGTTTAACCACTGCACCACAAGGCTCAAAGAATTGATGCTTTTGAATTGTGGTGCTGGAGGAGACTCTTGAGAGTCCCCTGGACTGCAAAGGGAACAAATCTATTCATTCTGAAGGAAATCAACCCTAAGTGCTCACTGGAAGGGCAGA